CAAAGTCTAGAAAACCTTTGATTTGGATTCCAGTTGTGCTTAATGAATGATATTTTTGTTCTCTTGGTTTGATTTTCCTCATTTTTTTTTATTTTTTGAGGGGTGGGGAAGGACACCTGATGGCTCTCAAAGCTTACTCCTGGTTCTTTGCTCAAGGATCCCTCCTAATAGTGCTCAGGGGACTATATGCAGTACTAGGAAATGACCTGGATTGGCCTCTTGAAAAGCAAATGGTTATCTCTCAAGCTGCTTCTTCAACTTCTTAAGATAGTCAATATCGTACAAGGATTTTTTCCAAGAAACAGAAAAAAGGGGAAAAAGTCCACATAGACTAGACTATATTTAGGGTATTGCTTACACATGTGATTGTGTAGATATATATTATAATTATCATATAATTATACATATAATTAAAAACTGTACATGCGTCTATACTTTTATATTCAACACTATGCATATAGTGTTATACTATTTTTTCACACATTTTCTTTATACAACAAATACTGAGTTTCTTGCTATAAGCTCTGGGCAGACAGCATTGCTTTTGAGAGGAGATAAAACATTACAAAGAAAATTAAAGTTTTGATTGAAAATACAATAAAATATGGCATGTTCAGTGAAGGTCTCAATGGGCCATGGCATTAGGCGGAGACCCACATGAGAGAAGAGTATAAAATACTGTGGATGGGGTCAGAGAGATAGTACATGACTAGGTACTTGTCTTGCACTTGTATAACCTGGATTCATTCTCTGGCACTGAATATGATCCTCTGAGCACCACCAGGGGTGATCCTGAACACAAAGCCAGAGGAGAACTCTGAGAATCTTCGTTCAAAAGATTGGGTGTGGCTCCAAACTGAAAATATTAAACATATGTAGATGAGCGATAGAGACAAATGTCAGATTTAGTATCATGTGGCAAGTCATCTAGGTCATCACACCAAATTTACTGAGGAGCAACTTGAGTTTACAGTGATTTGTATCTTGTGCAAAAACAGTGACTTGTGTCTTGAGCTAAATGATTTGTTTGAGATTCTACAGTTAGGATGCGTTTCCATTCTTCGGGAACAAATGGCTTATCTACTGGGAAATTATTATTTTACGAAACTTTTCAGACTTGTCTCAGCTCACACCTTCTTTTTCTCGGTTCTTTTTTCCTGCCTTCTTTTCTCCTTTCTTTTTCCAGTAGAGTCAATTTCTCTTTTCAAACATTCTTCACCCACACAGAAAGAAAACTAATGACATTTTGGTACAAACTTACTTCACCAAATAAAGGGTGTTTGGTGGTCCCTCCCAGGAGGGAGGGGAGATGCATGTCGAAAGTGGACTATGGACTGAACATGTTTGCCACTCAATGCCTCTTTTGCAGACCACAACACCCAAAAGGAGAGAGAGAACACAGGGGATTGCCCTGCCACAGAGGCAGGGGGGGATGCGGGGATGGGGGTGGGGGGGACATTATCCATGGTGGTGGAAAATGGGCACTGGTGGAGGGATAGGTATCTGATCATTGTATAATTGAAACCTAAGCACAAAAATTGTAAATCTACAACTGTACCTCATGGTGTTTCACTAATAAAAAAAAAAATTAAAAAAAAAAAAAAAAACTTACTTCAGCTTGCTTCATTGATCAAACTGTTCTCCCTTCCTACCACCAAGGGAAAGTGAATGGGACTAGCCCTTTTTCTTCACAAACCTGCCAAGTAATAGAGCACTGTGAAATATATGAGGGTGAGATGGGGAAAGAAATAGAACAACAACAAAAAAATGGGGAAATTTTCTAATTCAAGATGCTGATCAAGTTGAAAAAATGAGAGGGCCATAGAAATGCAAAGGGTCAAGTGCATACCTTTCCTGTGTGTGAAGCTCCAAGTTAAATCCCTGGAACCATGGCCCCCTTCCCTAACAAGCTGTGCATATCTCTAGAGGTCCCCAGCACCACTGAGTCTGAACATCGCTATATCATGGGGCCAGAATATTAAATCATTGGGCTGAGATTGACTGGGAATGACCCCCAGATCCCTTGAGCACGGCTCGCAAGGCTCCCCCAAATCAAAGTTAAATGATTGCAGAGATAGATGAAGATTTCTACACTAGCTGTTAACATGGTACTTTCTTTATCCTCCATCTCTTTGAAAACAAAATGCATTTTCAACTATCTTAAATCAACTTTATCTTAAATCAGGGATACAATGAAATCTATACCTGTCCATAGAGGGGGTGGGGGGAAGAAAAGAGAGGATATAGGAGATCTTCTATTGGTCTTCTGAAGTTAAATATTAGGGGCATTGACATAGTGGTGGGGTCAATGTCTACATCCCTGCCTGGGACTTAGATTCACTGTAGCCAAGTGATATTTGGACCCAAACCCAGGTTGCAGAAGCAGTTTAGGAGATATGTAAATCAAAGTTCTCTAGAGTCAGAAGACCTGTGTTTATATTCCATTTTCTCCATTTAGTAACTATAGTACTCTGCTCCCATTTCTGCTTTTTTTTTTTATTCACCGAAGATGTTCGCTACATCCACCTCCTAGGTTGCTGTGAATAAATAATTGAATAAAGGTAGAGCATTTAGACTGGTGCCTGTAGTTCTCAAGAACGCAATACACATTATTTGCAAATCTGATACTTTCTAAACAAATGAAATGATGAAAAAAAGTATATTGGGGCAAACATGTAGTGGGGTGGAAAGGAAGGGTCACTGTGTTATCATCATCGCAGTCTCAGGAGATGAAGTAGTCATAGTCATTTCTGGAACTTGAAGGTTGTCTCAATTACGAGCTCTCTGTGTCAGTCACCTCTACAGATTTCAGAGGAGAGCATGGCTAGACAATTCCTACAGTTTTATTTTTTCTATACAATGAATTATTTATTAGTCAGGGTCCTTTCCCCCCTATTGCTTTTATTCAAGCATGGTGATAGGTATGTTTATTATGGGTATAATCAGCATGCCCTTCTTTCTACATCTTAACATTGATATCTTCAAGGCTGAATTTGAAAAAAAAATAAAAAAAAAACCTCACAAGCTTTTGATTCCATTTCCCCCTTCTGTAAGTTACTGGACAGAGACAGAACCCAAACGATGAATGTGCTTGATCCCTTTATTGACTTAAATCCTGAGGTTATTCCAGGGTCTCTATAAGATTTCAAAGCTATCACACCTGGATTTCCTGGGAACTATAGCTGGTTTAAGTTATAAACACAAGTCCTGAAAGGACAGCTCAGAAAGAGCTAGTTAATTGCAAAACAAATGAAAACAGGATTCCCTGCACAATCTGAGCAAGTGTGTGTGTGTGCGTGTGTGTGTGTGTATCAAAAACACAAAGTGGTTCAAAAAACACAAAGATCTCTCTCCTTTTCTTACAAACCCTACCGCTAAGGACCCAGGAGGGCAGCAGTGCGTTAGAAATAGAGTTTCTCTACCAAGTTCTGATGAAAGCCTCTTCTGAGACAATCGCCAGGAGGTTTAGTTCCCTGCTTTTCTATAGTGCTCTTGAGGGCTTGCACAGCCCCACCAGGCACAATAAACGCGTCCACGGAAATCTGACATTGAGTCGGGATGATATTTAATCCTCCGCAGTCCTGCCCTGCCGTCTTCTGTTAGGCGAGAGTGGGAGAGCGAGCAGGAGTGTTTCTTCGGGATCAATGCAGACTTGGTACCCGACCAAGGTTCACTACCTTCAAGTACCAGGTCTTACTTCCAAACGCTTCTCAAAGCCTTTTCAATCTCTGAAGGAAATCATTTTTTTATCCCCATCCGGTAAACACGCTACCTTCATAGAAGGGGGAAAAAAAACAAAACACGCGCATCCTTTTCTTCCTCGCTTTCGCTCCCACGGGATTATTTCGGGGAGCTTTATTTTTTCCTGTTGGGAAACCTACACGGGGTTTCCTCGTGGAGCGGACAGCTGTTCTGCACGCCGCCAGGCTGGCGCATCTCTTCTCCGCATCGCCTCTCCTCTAACCAACAACTCTCTCCAACTTTCCCTCCCAGACTCCAGCGGGGGCGCCCCCGGGCCACCGGCTGCGGCAGGCCGGCGCGACCCAGATCCGCACACCCCCAGCGCCCGGCGAAGCGGAGTAGCCGGCGGCGCTGGGAGTCCGCTGGGCTGCCCACGCCCGCCGCCCTGCGTCCGGGTGCTCAGCCAGGCGCTCCTCGGGGACTCCCCTGCCTCTGCGCCCATCTCCCCGGGACACACACCGGGACGTGTCCTCACACCCTCTGCCTCTCGGGGACAGCTCTGCACAAATCCTTGCCCCTTCCTTTGCTCAAGCTTCCGACCACTACTCTTCTACTCCCCTTCCTTCCTTCCCCCAGTACCACCCCCAGTAGGGGAGGCGTGTGTGTGTGTGTGTGTGTGTGTGTGTGTGTGTGTGTGTGTGTGTGTGTGTGTTGCGGGGAGTGGGGGGTGGGGGGGGAGGCCAGCCTGGGTCTCCGCAATTACTCAGGCAGTTGAGGGTCTCCGTCACCACCAGCTGTCCTAATTCACGCTCATTCACATTCATTCTCATTCTCGGCCTCCCTCACAATCCCCATCTCCAAAGACTTCTAACAAGACAGACCGACCCTCAGTGGCACTCCCTTCCATTCACCCCTCCCTGCCACCACCACTCACACACACACACACACACACACACACACACACACGCACGCACGCACACGCACACACCCACACCCCCCCCCCCCGCGCGCACACACACACACACACACGCACGCAGCCCACTCCACTTTTCAGACGCCCACCCCCTACAGACTCCCCTCCCCGCAACAGACTTCCACCCACTCACCATCTGCATCCTCCCTTCCGCCCCCCGCCCCGCCCGCCCGGCTCTCCCCCCTCCCCAAGAAGCAAGCCGTGCACGGTGGGAGGCAGGGACCCCCGGCAGACGGAGGGGTCGCGCGCGCCGGTCCCGACCTCGGCCGGCCCGGGAAACTAACAAAGGCGCTAGCCGGAGCCCGGAGCCCGCTCATCCCGCACAGCGTGGAAGCGCCGGGCGCCGCGCGGCCAAGCGGGTGGTGCCTGCCGGGTCGGACCCGCCGCGCTGGGCCGGGAAGGGGCAGCGGCCCCCTCGGAACGCGGATCTGTCAGAGCCGCCCGCCGGCACCATGGGCTGCTGCACCGGGCGCTGCTCGCTCATCTGCCTCTGCGCGCTGCAGCTGGTGAGTGAGTCGCGCTTCCCTGCCCGGCACCCCCGAACTCGGGGCACTGTCTCCGGCTCCCCCAGCGCCGTCCCCGCCGTCGCGATCGGCGCTGCCCTGGGCTCGCGGCTCCCCCTAGGTGGCCCCCGCGGCCGCGGGAGGGCGCGGTCTGCGGAGTCTCGGCCCCGAGCTCCGGGGCTCACCGCAGGTTGGCGTCTGGGGTCCCCGCGCTGCTGGGCGAGGGGTCCCGGACGGAGGGAACGCGGTGTGTGCGGCGTCCTCCTTCCTGCCGAAGTTTCTCCGGGGCTCCGGGGCTCTTGGTTTTTTTTTTGTTTCTTCTTCTAGTTCTTCATAGTGTTGTGCAGTCCCCCAGGGGAGTGAGCTGCCCGGGCTGTGAGCGCACGCGGGGACGCGACCGTCCGTCACTCGGAGCTTGGGGACGGTTCCTGCGTCCGCAGGTTGAAGACTCCGGGAGTCTTCGGGGCTGAGGAGTGTTTGCAGCTCCTGCTCTTTGCATTTCCGCTGTAGATTTTAGTTGAAATGTGGCGAATTCGGTTCGGACCCGAGACTGACAAGCTGTCACTGGGGAGGGGACAGGGACGCGGTCCCTAGGCGCCGGGGCTCGACCTGGAGTGCGTGTAATGGGACGTTAGGACAAGTGGAGAGTCAAAGGCCTTTCCGAGAGCTGCGGACGCGCTTTAAACACAAGTCCCGGTGGGACCCAGACTGGGCCTGTGGTCTGCGCCAGAGCCACTTGAGGTCAAGGCCGCAGACCTTCCGTGTCAGACTTTTGTGTGTGGGGGGAGGAAGATTAATAGACCTCTTCCTTTTAGGACTGTAAGCCAGGTTCTGGAGGTCCATGAGCGGGCAAGGGTCAAGCTTTGGTCCAGGTGTTGCATGTTCCTTTCTTTTTGAAAGTCACAAAGAATTAGCATATGCTGATGAACAAAAGGAATCAGCTTTTCCACCAACTTTACTGAGGAGCGTCAGCCCTTGCAAGACACATTAACTACAGGAGTAAAATAATTCTTTTTTTTTTTTTTTAGTCGTTTCCCCCTTGTTTTAAAAAGTATCACTCTCTGCTTTCCCACAAAAATCCTCCTTAGGGATCGATGGACTACTCATTGTTTACACAAGGCTTGCTTAATTTGAATGTTTTTAGATTTGGAATCAGTGCTCACTTTTTTTTTCTTTTCAAAAATTCACAGGAAAGTCTTTTCTGTACTCTTCAATAGGACACATTCTATAGAGTTTTCTTGAAAAAAAATTTTTTTTCCACTTGAAGTCAGCTTATTTTTTTTACTCGTGAAAGAAGATAATTTCCACTTTGGTTGTTAAAATGAAATGTGGTTCAGAAATCGCAAAAAAAAGTCAAGCTTTGAGGATGTAAGATTGTCTTTGGCATACACTATAAAGGAATCAAACATGGTATTATTTGTGATGATGATGTTTTTGGTGTTTAGTTCATTAGTCTGAAACCTGAAACCTCCACTTTCCACACAGACCTTCTCAATGGAGACACATGCAACTTTCTCTTGACAGTTTTTCACAAAATTCCAACTTGTCTTTCAAGTCTTTCTAAGTGCTCCAGATAAAATCAATTACTTTTTTTGCTTTTCTTTGCTTTTTCCTCTGTTAGAAGACAAACTATCCTTAAATTATTTTAGTTAATTTACACATGCCTTTCATCACTAGACTATAAGAAACCTCAGAGTAAGGATGGAACATTTTTCATACTGTAAATGCAAAGTCTTTAGAAAAGCTTAATTAGGAGCTGTAATATATTTGCTGAATTGATGACAACAATTAATATTTTAGTCAGTAGGGTTGTTGCATAAATATTTTATTTTAGAGCTGTTCTTTCAGGCACTAATTTTATTTGTTTTCACATGAGGAAGGTAAGGTAATATTTATAGTTAAACAACTTTACCTTACCTGTCAGTTGTTTGGGATGATAAAGATACTAGGTTGATCATAAACATTAAGAATCATATCAAAGGATGCTAGAGCAATAGTTCATTGGGTAGGGCTTTGCATGTGGCTGTCCCAAGTTTGACCCCCAGCATAAACTTATGATCTCCATATATGATTTCCTGAGCACTTTGAGGAGTGAGCCTTGAGTTCAGAGCCAGGCGTAAATCCTGAGCACAGCTAGGTGTAGCCCCCAAACAAAACAAACAAAAAAGAATGATATCAAAGAAAACAAGACACCAAAGTATATATTACATTATATCATAGATAATATTATGTGCATAAAATACGTAACGATCTTGATAAATAGTAGTATGTGTAGTACCCTTTCTATGAATTCCATGTTTTAATTCTGGCAGAATGTTTTGTTGAATTAATGAATTTCTGTAGCTCTGACCAGAATGTGAGGTCATATTTTTATTTAATTAGGAGAGTAATAAAAGCAGAATTTGAACTTCACACCATCAGTGATATGACCAGTTTCTTTGCTGAACTGAGTAATAGTTTTTAAATGTTGGAAAACTTTAACCTCATTTTGTGTACAGATATGTGTGTCTGCGCAATTGTGTATGTGTGTATACACACCACATACAAATTACTGCCATTGTAATGGATATAGACATTTTGCAATTTTTGCTCGATTTGCTCAAGCGGGCCCAGTAACGTCTCCATTGGAGACTTTGTTGTTACTGTGTCTGGCATTAGATTTAAAATTTTTCCATTGCTTTCTTAAGTCTAGACAGTCAATAATGTCAGAGCCTAATTTTTAGCAATTGCCTATTTCTTTGGTGTAAATACTTCAACTATGATCAATTTGTAGTATAACTTGTCCATCACATAAATCAAATATGCAAAAATGACCTCAGAAGCATAAAGTAAAATGTTGGAGAGCCTCCCTTTAACTAACACCCAGTCTTAACCCAAGGTCAAGATAGTCCCTATGGCAAAAACAGTTTAGATCTGAAAATACAAATGGGTGGTAAAAATGCTCCCAGGAAAGAACAGAATAGGTTACAGGGAAAGCAGAAATGCACCCAGGAAAGAGTAGGATAAATAGAATATTCTGGATGTAGCAGTCAACAGGGACAAAAATAGAGTAGGAAACTATCACAACCCTTATTTGAAGGGTGCCTGATGATTGGCTGTGTGAAATATCTGAGTTTCTTTTCTTAATGTATCCATTGAATTTTGATCTTCTTACTAACTGTTCTTAATGTTTCCATTAACTTAAACATAACTCACATATTGAGAAGGAGGTGGAAAAGTGATATTATGGTAAATAAATGGCTAGCAAGTGCACACAGGCTTGGACAGTCTTTGGGGTGTGTGTGTGTGTGTGTGTGTGTCCTTCTGTGCATATCTCACTCTCTGTGACCAACCCCACTGGCAGTAGGTCAAAGTGCAAGCCAATTGACTTTAGACATAAACATTCAGATTATTAGGAATGTTTTCTTTTGTTCCTTGGCTTTAAAATGTTGACACCTGTTTCTAATATGAATTACTAAAATTTAAGTTTATGCTGTTTATTTTTTATTATCACTGTGTAATAACAGGATGACAAAATTCCTAGAAATTTGAGTCTCTAAACTATATAGACAAACTCTAGAATACCACTGGGTAGTGATTCCATATCGAATGCATTTTCCATGTAAATCAGCAGTCCTTTGTGTTTCATTCAAAAAGGTGTGTGTGTGTGTGTGTGTGTGTGTGCACTTTAATATTTTCACTACTGTTTCAGGATGGAAGACAAAAGGGAGAAATAGATGTGGGTGTTGAGAAGAAAATGAAATTCACAGAACACATTTGCAGAATCTGTGTGCTAATGGCTAGAAGTGACTGTGTGGGTCACTAAAAGATGAAACATTAGTTTCTTTTAAAAGTTAAAGAAACAGGAAAAAGCCTTTTGTTATTTCATTCTCATTTCACTGAAATAACTTTCCACAGTGAAACTTAGGACTGGAAAAGTAATTGGAGAGAATTTACCAATTTTGATGATGGTGTGTGCAGATGAACATTTGTTGGCAAAATCTCACACTTTTTTCTAGTGTCCTCACCCTACCTGACATTTACTTTGTGCTTTTACCCCCCAAGGAAGCTTGTGTGTGTGCTCCTCATTTTATGTATATGTAACTTTTTAAGGGACTCGAGCAACAACACAGTGGGTAGGGCATTTGCCTTGCACTCAGCTGACCTGGGTTCAATTCCCAGCACCCTATATGCTCCCCCGAGTAATTCACTCAGGAGTAATTCCTGAGTGCATGAGTCAGGAGTAATCTCTGTGCATCACTGGGAAATAAATTGATTTAGTTGCTACATTTCACTTGTATATATTTTTTCTTTTATATTTTTGGGTTTGGGGCCACACCTTGTTGTGCTCTGAGTTTACTGTGTCTTAGGAATCAATCCTGGTGAACTTGAGGGATCATATGGGATGTCAGGGATTGAATCCAGGTTGACTGGGTGTAAGGTACATGCGCTACCAGCTGTATTATCTTTTTGTGCCTTAACATATTTTTAAAGAAGTAAGATGTAGTCTGCCAGGCATGTCAGGGTTGTGTCCCTGTAGTGACCTCAGTAAAGTGTAACCCAAGTCGGTAGGGAGTATTACCACACTGCTGTCTCATCTTCTTGACATGACAGAGGTCAGACTGCGAGATATGTTTAACACAACTTGTCCCTAAATATTGTTTCACTAGAGAGATGTGTGGTACTTTGCATCACTTAAAAGCAAAAGAAAGCCACTTTTCTATTAAGTAATAATCAGTGCAATAAAATACAAAAGCTATCACTTTCTATATATCACGATCACGATCACGACCACCCTGTTGTTCGTCGATTGCCTCGAGCAGGTGCCAGTAACATCTTCTTCGTCCTAGCCCTGAGATTTTTTTTTTTAAGTGCCATATTCAAGGCTTTTTCAGGGTTAGGAGAATGAGACCCATCATTGTTACTGGTATTTGGCATATTGGGTATACCACGGGGAGTTTGCCAGACTCTGCCGTGTGGGCATGTTACATTTGGTAGCCTGCCAGTTTGACCGAATTAGGAAT